CGATCGGTGCCAAAATTTAATGCAGCACTCTTCAAGTCGCTGGCATTATCTCCCTAAAATTTCGTCCGAATCGGATGAGCCAAAACGCCGTTATACGGGGAAACGCGGATTTTAGGTTTTCCGCGTTTTTAGCCGTTCCGCTCATTCGATCTCTTCCGAACCTCAAAACCACACTAGAGCGTCCCTATGTGGTTAACATATCCAAATTTGAGCCGAATCGCGCGACTGCTAACGGCCAGCTAAGCCATAATAGGATTTTACGTTTTCCTAGCTGCCGCCGGAAGCGTCCGCGCGATCTCGGCTGAACCCTCCAACCACGGCACTACTTCGTGCCGTGCATTACCAGTCCACTGTTGAACCAAATCCATGCAGTATTAAAATAAAACCTCCGTCAGCCCATTTACGAAGACCGGGAAAGTTTCACCGATGTTTCCTATTTCCTCGTCTTTGGGCCGAAAGGACCGTCTTCCGAAGGTCCCATCGCTCTGGCGGTCGGATGCGATGCTCGGTAGCCTAAGCCGAGACCGCGGGTAGAGTTTTTTCAAAATGGTACTTTTTACTGGAAATTTTGGCGGACGATTCACGAGCGTTCCGACAAAAGCATGGAGATCGCAGGAAAGCGATCGAACGTCTACTTGCGACGTTTGCAGTACTTCAGTGGGAGTACACGGTGCGAAGAAAGCGATATAGAGCAATATGTAACAATAAATATTCTATGGTAAATGTCTTGTATATATTAATTGTGAACTATTATTGTCTGTTAATTCTGTTCAATAAATCCTTTAACATATCTTCCACGATTTGCTTGAAAAAACCCTTTCATCAAACTGAAGAACTTTTAGAGCTCACAGCTCGCTTCACGAGGCTCCCGTCAAGACTGCCATATCTTGACGAGGTAATTTATAGTGCCTAGCAACCACTACTCGCTTTACGAGACATACCACCCGAGGTAGCCTAACCTGAGGTGAAGACCCTGTTCGATAGCCCCCTGCATCGAAACAGCGGTAAATTCCAGGATCCTTTTTGAGGCCTGCGATACCGTCCGAGACTGACCACCTCCGACGAAGATCCTGTGCGATAGCCTTTTGCATCGACACAGTGATACTCCAGGCTCCTCCAGAGACCTGCGTACCGCCCGAGGAAGCCCAACCTGAGGCGAAGATCCTGTTTGATAGGCCCCTGCATCGAAACAGCGATACATTTCAGGCTCCTTTAGAGACCTGCATACCGTCCTAGGCTGAGAACCTCCGACGAAGACCTTGACTCCGATTGTACCGGCTCCATCGAGAGACCCGCACTTCGGTACGGGTACACACATAGGCTTGTACGAGTCCTATCATTCAGACTCAATCGAGATCTGCAAATCCGAGGCAACTTTCCTCGTTAAACCTCTAGGCGGTCACTCGTCGAGGCAACCTTCCTCGTCAAACCCCTACGAGGCATTTTCTTTGCAACCTACGGGTTCAAAGCAATAGTACGCACATCATTGCGGCGGTGTACTCAAAATTTAGCATAAGTTGTCCTTACTTCTTAGGGCTCACTCGAGAGACCCACATTAAAAGTAGAGTAAGTGCTTCTACAATACTTTCGGAGCAAAAGAGCTTGCTCCGACATTGTCGTACGGGGTAAGATGTATCCCTGCGGCTCGACATCCAGTGCTACGAGGATTGGTGCCCTCGAAGGTACAACAAATAAATCAGATCGTGATTATATGATCAAGACTGAGCTGGACGAGACCTCGTCCCCAATCGGAGAGACCAGCGGTTAAACGGACTGCCCTCACGCCTGTTTGCCGGCAAAAGATCTCCCGACATTCCGGGTGAAAGAGGAAATGGCCTCCTTCCCCAACGTTATCTCGATGCTGCGTGAAGAGTCTGAGGGACTGAAGGTGGTAGCTCGCGGAAGTACGCGGCACGGCGCAGCCACAGCGCCGTACGCGTTGAGGTCTGCTGCTACGCGGGTTACTGATACCACCTCGATCATCCCTCATGACGCACTCATGGAGACGAGTAGCACGCACGAGTTACTACGAAGTGGGTTACCCACAGATACTCGGGACGAGGTTATACCTACGTACCAACTGGTAGGGTCCAGGGAATCCCATGAGTCCAACCACGGTTCGCGGTCCGGCCCCGATAGCTGCCTACTTCCGATATCGGGTGTCCCGGAACGTGGAGCCGTTGGCGACGACGATAGAGTTCATTCAGCTTTACTATGAAATGGTACCCAGCGGGAGCAATGCGCATCTCGTTCGGGTGCCATAGAATGCGAAAACCCCTTAGCCGACTATGTCGTAGTTGACGTAGCCGCCTCTTTCCAACTAAGCAATTCTGGTACATCGCCCGTCCACTCTCATGATTTCCCCCGAACATTCGATCACTGCCTAAGTAGTCCCTATTTAGAAAGTCTAACCCGACACGGCGCTCGACGTGGGGATCGACCATCGTCGTCGAGTTCTCTCCCACGGGCTCGTGTCCTAGACATCACGTCTGTAGGCCATATCCACCACAGACCACAGTCGTTTGAGAACCTAGTGCGACCTGGCGTCCAAAGTGGCGATCCATTTGAACTCCTGTCTCCACCGCGGACCCGGGTCGAGGAAATCAATAATTCGAATCCAAACGATCATAATTCACGACATAGCGCTCGACGTGGGGCTCGAAGTTCTGCTTCGACGTCTTCGCGGCGAGCCTAGGTTGCCGAATCTTCCCATAATTTTCAAATATTAGACACTTCCGATCATATTCAACGACATGGCGCCCAACGTGGGGCTCGATTCGAACTTCCGATGTCTCCACCACGTACCCATGTCGATCAAACACTACACAAAGATCATATAACATGACATGGCGTCCAACGTGGGGCTCGATTCGAACTTCCGATGTCTCCACCGCGGACCCATGTCCAAACACTACACGACATGAAGTAAAATCAACTTTTTCCTTGAATATCTTGAAAGCGACCGTCTATGAAATTAACCCATGACAGCTCCTTTCGGCTCTCCGGACCGGACAAATGTCGACCCATGTGAATGCACCCTGAGTGTCTGCCTTCTATGTCAATATAGTCTGTGTTCTGTGATCCGCAAGTTATGTCTGTATCAGCCATTTGCACCGTTGTGAACATGGAGACTAGATAAGTCTCCATGGTTGTGAATTAACTTTTGGATTTAATAATCACAAGTTAACCTTAATTATGGATTAAACATAAAAGACTTTGCACCAGTGAGTATTATAAGTTTAGTTAACAAACTGATGTTTAAAATTAAATAGGATATGTTGGCTACAATGAGCTATAGGGTTCTTGTGAAATCTGCATTTTCTATTGGTTATATTAAGGGTTTTTTGGCGAGAAAACCGCTAACCCGGTTAACTATAGTTTGTTGAGGTTTGACGTTTTGGCGAGAAATGTAGTTAACCCGGTTTGGCAGAGTTTGCCTAACCATCAAACCGGACTTGTGGGTTGGTTTGGATATTAAGTTAATATTTCTATCTTTGTTTATTTATTTTCTGTTTCGTACCATCGTACCTAGTCACTACTTCGTTTTTTTAGAGGTTTGGATAGGTATAAGTTGTAAATAAAAAAAATTGATAATGGATTAACTTTGCAAAAAATACAAAGTAAATATTTAAAATTGATAATAAAAAAATAGTAATCGAGGATCCAAATAACTTTAATCGTAGATATGCATATTCTATATTGTACTGTATAGATCTTTATTAACTTCCTTTTTGACGATACATTTACGTGGGAATAGATATTTGTGAAAAGGTAAACCCATTTTGATTTAATAACCATCTATACATTAACGTTATTTCATGGATGTGCATTTCAGATTAGGAATAACAATTATAGTATATAAGAAATAATCAAACAACTTGAGCTACGAGCACTATCATAGATTATAGGTTACGATTTTATTATTGATTAGATATCCAAACCAAAAGAATTTTTGCGAGTTCTGTCAAATGTTAACTCAAACTCTTAACACAATCAAACTCGAGCTAACCGGGTTTGATGTGGTTTGGCTCGCCAAAAAACCCTTA